GGGAGGCCGGGGGCGCGGAGGCGACCGCCGAGGACGGCCGGCGCCCGATCTGGGTGGCCCGCGAGCGGGTCTAAAGCCGCCCTCAGCGTCGTTCCCCGACCGGAGGGATGGCGACCCCATCCTCTCTGCCGAGCCCGGGCGCCTCCTAAATTGCGCCCCGTCGCCGCTGTCCGCCAGCCGCCTGCACCGGCCTTCCTCAGCTCTCTCCAGTTGGTGCACCGCGGGGTCCAGGCTCCGTGATCGAGGCCGCCCCTTGTGAGCCGGCGGGTCTGGCGTCACCCTTCGGATGCAGCCGGTGACTGGGGCCCCGTCCGCCACCCGCCTGCTCTGCGCTCAGTTCCTCGTCGGGTTTAAATGCGGCCGGGGATGGAGGACAAGAAGAATAGAAGGGAAGAGGGGCGTATTCAGACCCCCTGAGAACCTCCATGGATAAGAGCCAGAGAGGGGACCGGTTTGCAAGGAAAAGCGGAGGGGGTGGGTGGCAACAAAACCTGAGCAGCGAGATTCAAGCCGAAGACACTGGTGTGTCCCGGTGAGAAGTTACGGAGCGGAGTGGAAGCCTGGATTCAGGGGAGCATTTCAGGTGCCCACTGGACCCGAGTGGATGCAGAGAGAAACTGAAAATGACTGAAGGGAAGGAGAGAGATGAGCTATAGCTGAGGTGAAGACAGAGGCAAGGATGGTTTTTAATTTCATTTAAGGTTTGATGTGAAGGTGAGGGGGGAAAGTATTGGATGTAAGTGGCAGAAAACCCTACTCAGAGTTGCTTGAAGCAGCGAGCACGAATTGCCTGGCATAACTGGCACACTCAGGGCCAGTCCGGATTTAAGTGGAGCTGGATCCGGTTCAGCCTGTCCTCAGGACTCAGTGCCTCTCGCCCAGATCTGCTTTCCCGATTGGCCTGGGGGCAACCCCGTGGGCTGCCAGCTCAGCACTGCCAGCAAAGGTCTGCTTTCTTGGCCCAGCCCCAGCCCAGGCCCCAGACTGGGTCTGGCAGCCCGGCTTAGCCACAGGGCCATCTCTGAGCAAGGTGTGCTGTCTGGCTGGGCTAGCAGTGGGGTCAGCTCCGTGCCCGAGACCCTTGGGCTGAAGATGGGAGGCTGCAGGGACCACAGGAAGGGAAAAGGTGCTGCCCCACTGTGCAGGGAGAGGCTGAGAGGACAGGTCAGGGGGCAAAGGAAGAACGAGGTCCCAAGACAGCTGCACCTGGGGGAGACTGGACTGGACATGCCTCAGAGGGAGACTGGAGAGCGCAGCTGCCAGTAGGTGGCCGTGGGCCGCCCTCCCTGGGGAAGCAGGGGGCCAACGGGAGCCACTGCCCACTGGGTCGGGAGTATTAGGACATAGGAGAGCACCCACTGGGCAGGGTGCTTCATTCTCTGTGAGCATCATTTCCCTCTGGTAAACCAAATCCCTGGTCAGCCTATGGGAGGTCCCCATCTACCGGGTGCTGGTCCCAGTAGGAGTGCCAAAACAGTGCTTCCAGGCCGCAGCTGGGGGGGTGGGGAGGGAGCCACCCCCTGCCAGGCAGAACCCAGGGTTGGGTCTGGGGCAGGGGGTCTGTAGGGGAGCAGGGGGTGTGAGTGGTGAGGAGGACAGGACTTGTGAGTTTGGATCTCATCCTGAGGAGAGACAGCCCATGGGTCTGTGGTAAAGGGATTGGGGTGCTCTGGTGGCAGGTGGGGCAGGGAACAACACATCTGGGGTGAAACCACTCCCTTCAATCAGTGCTGTAAACCCATTACCTCAAAAAAAGGTTAGAAAGGGTTAGAAAAAAATGACTGAGTGAAGAATTTTTAAAAACCTCAAGGCGAGAGAGTCTGATGTGGGCCTCCTAGAAAGGAGAGAACCGCCGCAGAGCTGCCTCCAGCCCTGCACTCCCCCCCCCCCCGCCCTGTCCTGCAGAGGCCCTGTACTACACTGACGACACGGCCATGGCCAGAGCCCTGGTGCAGTCCCTGCTGGCCAAGGAGGCCTTCGATGAGGTGGACATGGCTCACAGGTGAGGGGCTTGATGGTGGGGCGAGGCAAACCAGGGGCGGTGCAGTTATTACCCCTCGGCCAGAGCAGTGATGTCCTTCATGCTGGGACCCCACCTAAAAGGGACAGCATTGCCGCTGAGGCTTCTTAGGGCCCAGGGCTGCCTCTTCCCCAAACCAGCCAGAGGGCCTCTCTCTCCTCTGTGTCCTGATTCTGGCTCCTCTCCTCTAGATTTGCTCAGGAGTACAAGAAAGACCCTGACAGGGGTTATGGTGCTGGAGTAATCACCGTCTTCAAGAAGCTCCTGAGCCCCAAGTGTCGCGATGTCTATGAGCCTGCCCGGGCCCAGTTTAATGGCAAAGGCTCCTATGGCAACGGCGGTGCCATGCGGGTGGCCGGTGTCTCCCTGGCCTACAGCAGTGTGCAGGAGGTGCAGAAGGTAGTCCAGACTGCGGGCCCGGGCTCCCTCCCCCCCTGCTCTGGGCTGGGCTCTGTGACAGCAGGTCTTTGCCTCCACTGCCTTTGCCCTAGTTTGCCCGGCTCTCGGCCCAGCTGACACACGCCTCCTCCCTGGGTTACAACGGCGCCATCCTGCAGGCCCTGGCCGTGTACCTGGCTTTGCAGGGTGAGTCGTCCAGTGAGCACTTCCTCGAACAACTCCTGGGCCACATGGAGGAGCTGGAGAGCGATGTCCAGTCCATCTCGGATGCCAGGGAGTGAGTAGTGGGGTGGAGGCAGGCTGCAAGCCTTGGTGAAGGTGTGCGCGCGTGTGGGCGGTGGGGTGGGTCTCTGACATGGCCACAAGCTGAGACCATCTTTAATTGAGCACTCTAAGGAGGGGTAGGAAGAAGCCCCTGGGTCTCTCAGGGTCCCAGGGGACAAATCTCTCCACACCTCAGGTTGGGCATGGAGGAGCGCCCATACTCCAGTCGACTGAAGAAGATTGGAGAACTTTTAGGGCAGGACTCGGTGACCAGAGACGAGGTGGTTTCTGAGCTAGGTGGGTAGCCGCCTGCCCGTCACCCTTCAGGGTCAGCACTGGGTGGGAAGGGCAGCCACCCCTCCCCCACACACAGGGTTTTGCCTGGGGCTGCAAAGCCTTCCCGTCAGTCCCTGGGTCCTTGACAGGTTGGGAGCAAAGCACCTTCTTCCTCTAGGGCTAGAGCACTTTCACTCTGACAGATCACCGTCCCGAGAACTGGCAGCAGGCCACCATTGCGGGGTAGCACTGCCACTATGGGCGCTTTGCAGAGTGCTTACTTACGTGGTTTCTTTCCACGCTCACGCCAGTGCTGGAAGAGTCGCTCCATATATTCATCCTCTGCAAAGCCTGACTGAAGCTGAGTGTTGACTTGTCACCTAACACAGGAAGCCTGGGGTCCAGGGGTCGGGCATGTCAGGTTCCCGTAATCTGCTTTCCCCGCAGGGAATGGCATTGCTGCCTTTGAATCTGTGCCCACTGCCATCTATTGCTTCCTGCGCTGCATGGAGCCTCACCCAGAGATCCCCTCTGCCTTCAATGGCCTCCAGAGGACTCTCATCTATTCTATCTCACTTGGTGGGGACACGGACACCATTGCCACCATGGCTGGGGCCATTGCTGGAGCCTATTACGGGATGGAACAAGTGCCAGAGAGCTGGCAGCAAAGTTGTGAGGGCTATGAGGAGACAGATGTCCTGGCCCAGAGCCTGCACCGGGTCTTCCAGAAGAGTTTGTGAGGGCCACAGCTGCTGGGGCTACTTCATGTCTACCAGGACCAGCTACAGCTCAAATCAGAAACCCTGAGTCTCCTGGGGCTTGGCTCCCTGTCCTGGCCTTCCTGCAGGTGGGCAGAGAGCACGCTGGGGCTGGGTTCTCTCTGCAAGGGTCACTGAGATGACGAGTGAGGGACCTCTGTCTGCCCTCCCATATTGGGTTTCTGGCTTGTTGCAGAGCCTTGGGCACTCCTCATTTCTCGGTGATACATAAGGGACCAGAGAGCTTTTATTTTGGAAGGGTACTTGTGGCATTCTTCTATCCAGGATGTGGTGGGGGGGAGGGGGAAAATGACCTGCAGTAGCATCCTTTCTCCTTGTTGGTATTTAACCATTTTGTCAGAAGCCTGTCTTTGACCAGACAGCGCCCCCCCCCCCAAGTGGTATGTTTCTGTGGATCATGGAGATGGGCACTTGAGTCTGGCTCATCTAGACAGACAACTGGCCCTTGGCTGCCATGGGGCTTGTTAGCAGCTTCTGGTGGAAGTCACAGAGCAATAAACAGTTTTCTGTAAATCCCTCTCTGGCTCCTGAGTTTCTCCTCTGCCTTAAGTGGTTTCTCACCCCTTAGGCATCTGGACCTTCTGTGCCTAAAGCCTGTCTCTCTGGGCTGCACACTCCTAGGAGCTGGGAACCCGGCAGGGAGCGCTGTGCTGCCAGTCACCAGGCCTGGTTGGGGGGTTTGCTCTTGGCGGTCCCTGAACAATAGGGGCAGGAACGAGCCAGATTTCTCTGCTCCCGGGTCCTGACTTCTTCCTGGGTTCCCAAATAGGACCCAGGCCAGCTGGGGCAGGAACAGACACTGCAGATCATGAAGAAGGCATCCTCTGTTATCAGCTTACATTGTGGGGCCATAGGGGTGGGTTGTGGGGGGACATCATCTCATGCCCTAGGTGGACTGAAGGCTCACTCTGTGCCACATTCTGTATCTCAAACCCCAAAGGCCATGTTCCACAAGGAATTTGAATCCGATCCATTTTGAAGGAAAACTGAAAGGGAGCACCTCCCCTCAAATTTCAGGGGTATTCCTGGACCCCACTTCCAGCCTCAATCACAAGAGAAGCATGCCCAGCTCCCTAGCTACCCTCAGGATGCAGGATTATTGGCCAGGTCTGATTTTAGCCAAGATGAACTTCTAGGGCACACCACAGGAATTTTCATGCACGGATTGTCTGTGGTCCACCGTCTGGCCCCTCGCTGCCAAGCATGGCGGGTTGGGGGTAGGTGCTATCTGTCCAGAACAGCACCCCTGCCCTGCCTTGAGTGTTGGCCCCCTGCCCCAACCCCACCCTCAGGAGCAGAGATTCACGATTTCATTCATAATTTGTATCAGATGTTGAAATTGGCCCTTGAGATCCTGTGCTGGCTGTCATGCTCCAGTACTCTTGAGAGCTTGCAGGAATGTTCCAGGGAAGGGCGATCTTTCCCAGCTCCAGCCACTGCCTTTGGTTCTTAAAATGCCTCTTGGCATTTACTTGCAGCTTAGGAGCATGAGGCAGTTCTGATGTAGACAGAACCAGTGGCTGGAGAGCTGTGGGGGGGTGGAAGGAAGTTGCATGCTTCTTGCAAGAAGATGGCCCAGAAGAGCTCCCTGGGTGCCTCGGAAACCCAGAGGGGGTGACACCTCTGCATCAATGCCAGCTTCATCACTGTGCTGTTTTTACAACAGGTTTTATTGAGGTGTGTCAGTACAGTCAGTACCATTGTTTTTCTTTTCAAAAACAAGTTCCATCTTCTTTGACTCCCGAGTGCATTTTTCCCAAATCCTCTGTGACACGGGGCACATGGTAAGTATGTAGAAACTAAGCTTCTTAATGAGGTTAGAAATGACACAACTAATGGAAAACACTTCAACCTTAAAATGTTAGAAATCAGATAAAAAAGGCACAAGGTGATGTAGTTTTCATTGATAAAACCTGATGTCATTTAGCAAAGCTAGTCAGTTAAGTGGACACCTGGACCTAAAATCCCATAAACCTTTCAGAAATACCTATAACCCTCCCCAAAGGCTTTAGGAATGACATTTTGCAGAAGCTCAGTTTTGTTTCTGGGAACACTCCTGGGCTCCTGGGCGCACTCGGAGAGAAGGGCCCCTCCCTAACAGGTCAGATGGCTGTGCCCCTTGCCGGGAAGGAGGCTGAGCAGGGGGCCCCACAGGTAGTGTTTGAACTTTTAGACCTTTTGGGTGGAGGGGGGTAAGAAATCTACATGAACCCCAGCTGAAGCCTGTTCTTAGAATGTCACGAGCAGATTTGGGTTTTCACTTCTTGTTTTGAAAATTAGTGAGCAGTCAACAGGCTTGTGTTTGGAGCTGGGCAGGAGCAGGTCAGGAGTCAGCAGCCACCCTCCATTTTCAGCAGAGGCAGCCTGGCCTGGGCCAGAACTGGGGCCCAGCCACAAGATCCCACCCTGACCACTTGGTGTTCAGGAAAGTGGGCTGGCCTGAGGGAAGGCAGGGAGCTGGACCAGAGACCCCAAGCCACGGAGAAAATGGCCATCTTGAGTCAGCAACAGTGCTCCCTCCTGACCCCTGCATGTATCCCATTTTACCCACCCTGCTGGAGCCAGGGCCTGAGGGCTGGGAGGGGGACTCTGTCCCGCAAGGGAGCTCTGATTGGAGAAAGTGGCAGAACCATCCAGAGCCAACTTATTTCAAAGGGGCCCGTTGGTACTCTTTCTCCAAGCCTCAGCCTCCTGGGCCCTAATCCTGCTTAGAACAGGAAATTGGAACCAGAGGACGGAAGGAGAAGAAGCCCCCACAGATTAACCCTTCTAGTCGACACACAGAGGCACCATGTGGCTCTGATTAGGGAAGAGCAAGCAGCACCTCCGCCATCTCCCGGCTGTGTGCACCTTGTTCTGAAGGCCAGACAGAGGCTCTCTGCCTCGGGGATGCCGGAGTGGGTGGAAAGGTTCCCTTGCAATTCGGCCCTTTCCCCCTGCCCACTCTTGGTCACTGGTCACGCCTTGTCCAACTTCTGGTTGTAGAGCCCGTGTGGGTGCCCTGGCGCTGGGCAGCCAGAGTTGGTGGAGGCAGCCTGGGGAGTGAAGATAAGCCGCGGGGCTGCCGTTCTGCCCAGTCCATGCCCTGCCTTCTGACAAACCACTTTGCTCGTGGCTGTGCTGGAGCAGTGGAATGGTTCTGCCCCTGCGGAGGGCCACAGGAAGGCCTGGTATGCACGCCCCGCCCCCCAGGGAGTGGCCACCTGGATGGTATCTCTCCCCCCTCCCCACTAGGGGGTTAACAAAAACTCTTCAGGGGACTACCCAGGTGTGCTGGCGGTCCTGGGGGGACCTGGGAGAGGCCCAGCCTAGAACTGAGGGAAGCCATGCCCCATTCCTTGAACTGGAACCAGCTGAGGGTCAGCAGGAAGGCAAGAGCTGGGAATATGTCTCAGGGGGCACTGGGAGGGGAGCTTGGCCCCCTCAGCTCAGACTCTAGCACCTCCTTGGCCACCCGGCTGAGCTCAGGACTCCAAGGGCAGGTTCTCCAGGAGCTGGGCTTGGGGTCCTGGGGCCCCTGCCTATAAGCCCCGTAGGGTGAGGTGCAATCCCAACCCTGCAGAGACACGGGGGAGGGGAACACAGGCCAGTCTCTTCCAGAAACCACCTCAGCCGCTCCTGAAGGGAAAATCCAAGTCAGTCTGCTTGGGTCCAGACTGCAGTCGCCTCAGTTCAGCCTTCAGTGTTTTCTTTTAAATGAAAGTTCTTGGTAACTGAAAAGGTCTCTCTACCACTAAAGAGGCGGCGGCCAGGGCAGCAGCACCCCTGGGGTTATGTAGGGCAGAGCAAGAATCCTGAAAAGGAGGAGTGGATGTACTCGGTGGAGTAGAGGCCGTTGGCCTGGTCCGAGGGCATCTGCACCCAGACCTGGTCGTTGGGCCGCAGCTGCAGCACCGCCCCGCCTGACGCCTGGTCCAGGTAGCCCTTCTTGTATTCGTCATAGGTGTAGGTGGCTGGCACGTTGTTCTTGTACAGAGCCACCCACACGTTGGTGCCCTTGACATGCACGTGGTAAGCAAAGTAGTAGACCCCGCCCACGGGGCAGGTGAAGATGCCAGTGGCCGGGTTGTAGCCGCTGTGGCCGTTGTAGAGAGTCCGATCAAATTTAACAGGCATCCCCGAGGCGGGAAAGGGTGAGGTGAGCACAGCGGTGAAGGCCGGCGTGGTGTGGGCCGACAGCTCACCCAGCCCCAACTGTGGCCTGCCTCCCTTGCCCAGCACAGCGCCCTCCACGCCACCACTGGGCAGGTGCAGGCCAGCAACGCCAGTCTCGTCCAAGGCCCCAGGGGCACCGGGGGGCCCAGGAGGCCCGGGGGGCCCAGGAGGGCCCGTGAGTCCTGGGGAACCTGGGACCCCAGGGGGCCCTGTGGGCCCAGCCATGCCAGGTTCTCCCACTTTCCCCTCTCCAGGCGCCCCAGGCAGGCCTGGTTCACCCTTCAGGCCTGGCAGACCCTGGGGGCCAACAGGGCCAGCTGGGCCTTGGAGTCCTGGGATTCCGGAGGGGCCCCTCAGGCCAGGCTGCCCAGGGAGCCCCAAGTCACCCTTCTGCCCCAGGGCTCCTGCCAACCCAGGTCCCCCAGGGCGGCCTGTGAAACCTGGCTCACCCTTGGGTCCAGCTGGCCCAGGGGGTCCATGGGCTCCTGGAAGCCCCCTCTCTCCTGGGATCCCAGGTTTCCCAGCCAGGCCACTAGGCCCCTGATCACCTCGAATGCCAGGCACCCCTGGGGGTCCCCCAGGTCCAGTCTCCCCCTTAAGCCCAGGAGGGCCACGCCTGCCAGGGAGCCCTGCAGACCCGGGAAGTCCCGGAGGTCCTCCAAGGCCCTGTGGGCCCTGCTCCCCTGGCTCCCCATCCTCCCCAGGCTCACCCCTGTCCCCCAAGAGCCCTGGGACCCCAGCTGGGCCCCTGTCCCCCTTAGGGCCTGGCAGGCCTGGCATTCCATAGCCAGTGGGACCTATCAGGCCAGGGGGACCTCGGGTCCCTGGTTCCCCTTTGACCCCTACTGGGCCCTGTGGCCCTGGCACTCCTGCTGCCCCTGGTACCCCCACCCCATCCACCCCAGGGGACCCTTTTGGGCCCAAAGCACCTGGCTCCCCCCTGGGCCCTGGTACCCCAGGAGGCCCAGATGCACCCTTATTTCCAGGGGCCCCAGGAAGCCCATCCAAACCTGGTTTGCCCAAGCCAGCTGGACCAGGGAGGCCAGGGGGTCCAGGGGCACCCCCCTGCCCTGGGGCCCCAGGCAGCCCTGGCTGGCCCACTCCATTATCCCCCTTGAGACCTCGATCACCTGGGGGACCAGGCTCCCCCTGAGGCCCTGGCTCCCCACCAAATCCTGGGGGCCCTGGAACCCCCTGGGGGCCTGGTTTTCCAGGGACAGCAATGCCTGTGGGCCCAGGGAGGCCAGGGGGTCCTGGAGGCCCCCGGAGGCCTTGGTCCCCTCGTATCCCTGGCTCCCCCCGAAGCCCAGGCTGCCCTGGAGGTCCAACCTTGCCTGGGAGCCCAGGAGGACCAGCTTTGCCCATCCGGGAGAAGCCAGGGGGCCCGGCAGGGCCGGGTTGCCCATGCAGACCTGGCTTTCCAGTGCCTGGTTTTCCGGGGAAACCAGGAGGGCCAGGAGGCCCCCGAGGCCCAGGCTTCCCAGGGGGGCCAGGCTCTCCTTTTAGGTCCATCGGCAACAGTGGTAGAGGCATTTCTGAGAGAGAGAGAGAAAAGGGGAAGTCAGGCTGGGATGGTGGGAACCAGACACCCAGCTACCCACGCCCCACTCCTACGTGAGGTACACTGGTAAGACAAGGCTCTCAATCTGTTATCAAGACCATGCTCCCTGCCGTCATGGGAGAGGGAGTTCAGAGGTGAGCCAGTGATCATCTTGGGGGCTAGCCCCCTACCCAGGCTGGGCTTTCCCAAGAACTTGGGGTGACTCATCCCTGGTTGACCTGGGGACAGGATGACCACCAGGTGGCACCAACATCCCTCCTTCAAACCAGTCAAAACATCTCCCCCCCCCCCCCCCCCGTTCCCTCCCATCCTGAAGACCACTGCACCCCGATTCTGGGCACTGTGGGCCCGGAAGCCCCTGAACCAGCATCAGGAGTTAAAAATGAAGATAAATGACAAAGTAGTGGGGATTGAGGGGCTGGGCTGGAGAGCCTGTGAGCAGCGGGGAGGGAGTTAGGGAGTCAGGCCTGTCTGAGACATTAGGGGGTAGGGAGGTGCTCACCCAGGTACTGGCCCTTGCCCTCTCGGAAGGGCGGCCCCACGGGTCCTTTGTGCATGGGCTGCACGTACTTCACCGGCGCGTAGCCCGCTGCCCCACCAGCCCCACCACTGGCGGCTGGCCAAGGCCCAGACCCCAGCAGCAGCAGCAGCAGCAGCAGCAGCTCGGGTGGCAGCGGAGGCAGGGGCGCCAGAGCACCCCGCATGGCGTCCCAGGGTGTGCTGCAGGGAGGAACCGAGAGGGGCCATCAAGTGAACCCCTTGGTGGCTTGACACCAGACCCAGGGCTCACAACAATGTAGGTATTTTACAAGCAAATCCCAGGTGTCAGTGTGTAGAAGTTACCTCCTAACCTCCCCAGCCCTGCCAGACCCACCACCGTCGGCTGGGGGCCCTGCCCAGAGCGGCAGCCACCCCCAACCAGCCTATCGAGAAGACCCTGCCAGAGCTGCCCCATCCTTGGCACACTCCTGCCAAAACCTTGGGCAATAGCACCCGCCCCCACTGACTGGGCCAGCTCTGCCAGGCGGTGGGCTCCGCAGTCTGGGGACAGGCACTCACTCAAAGCCCCCAATGCTTCACCATGTTGACGCCCACCTGGGACTCCCCACTGCCCTCAGGATCAAGTCCATGGTGCCTAACATGGCACCCAAAACCTTTTAAAGCTAATCGGTGCCTGTGTCTCCAGCTCATCACCTAGCCCCTTCTCCACCTCTCCTCCCCCACACCTGCCCCAGGACAGAACTCCTGCAGCTCCCAGACCCTGGGTGGCCTCACCCCTCTGGACCTTTGCAGCCTCTAGTTCAGCCTGCAGTGTTCTTTCCCTCTCCTGTTCCTCCTTCAAGGAAGCTGTCACCCCTTCTTTATAAAGTCAGCCCCTGGCTCCTGTGTGTCCCAACCTAGTCCTGTCACAGCATTTAGCTCCAGAAATAAGAGGCAGGGGCTGCCCTGCGGCCTCGGGGTTAAGTCGCAGCGCTATCACCACTATCACCGACATACCGCCTAAGTGCCATTTCCCACCGGGGGTGACCCACATGGCCCAGCAGACTTGTGGTCACCGGCTGCTCCCCTCAGCAGTGTTTCAGTAGATCTACTTGTTCTGCTCCCCGCTCTGTCTCTGGTGAACTCTCTCATCCCCCTGCACCTCTGGCCTGCACCCTAGTTCTTGTATGCATATAAATCAATAAATAAAACCTTAAAAAAAAATAAGAGGCAGCAGGGCCACTAGATGCAAAGCCCGCCGGGGTAGCTTGCGCAGGAGGCTTCCACTCCGAGCCTCATTCTCCTCTGCAAAATGGGGTGGCACGTCCCACAGACAGAGCAGGACTGTTGACAGCAGCATTCTTCACAACAGCCACAAAGTAGAGACCTGGGGGGCAGGGGCGAGTGCGGCACACCCCGGACCCCGCAAGGCTGACACAGGCCGTGACAGACACGGCTCCGTGTCCAGTGTCCAGAACAGGCCAGTCGCCAGAGGCAGAAAGCAGACTGGTGGTCGCCCGGGGAGGACCAGTGGCTCCACAGTACTGGGCTTCCTCTAGGGGTAAGAAAACGTCCCAGACTTGACTGTGGTGACGGCTTTGAATACATGTTTAAAAACTGAATTGCACCCTGTAAGTGGGCCAAGAGTATAAACTGTAAATCACACCTCAATAAGATGTTATTTTTAAACAGTGGGCTAGCAACCAGTTTCTCAGGGTCACTGTAAAGGTTGGAGGTATGTCTACCGCTCGGTGGGCGCCCTCCAAATCTGAATGGGGGATTAGCTGGCACTGTGCACCCCCAAGGGGAGCCCCACGTCGCTTCACACCCCTGCTCTGAGCTCCCCTCAACCCACCCAGGGACTTCACTGAACCGGCACCTGGCTCCCTGGAGAGACTTGGGGGTGCCTGTGGGGAGCAGAGCCCTCTCCAGAACCAAGCTGAGTCTGGGGTTACACTCAAGGTTGGTCCAAAGTCAGTGTCACAGGGAGCTTGGCAGGACTGAGGGTGAGGCTGCCAGCCCAGCTCCTGGGTGAGGCTCCAGCCCAGACGTGCCAGGCACAGGCCGTCTGCTCTGTCTGCCCCGCGCTTCACGCCAGGACTCCAGAGCCAGGTGAAGGCGCCCACAGGCCCGGGAACCGCCCTCCTGTCTCATCCCTGTGTCTTCCCTTCCATCTGCACTCATCCCCGTGACTCACACGAGAGAAGGGGGAGCTGGGGGAAGCCCCGGACCAGGCAGCACCTAAACCAGGCAGTCTGACCTTGAGCCCCAGGCCTCAACCACCATACCCTCCCACCTCTCTGGGGCCACCTGAGTTGAGGGCTCAGTGGGTAGGGGGTGAGGTTGTTCACACCACCTAGCAGGGGTAGGGGAGTGGGGAGCAGGCAGAGAGAGCAGAGCGTACAGAGGGGAGCAGGGACAGCAGGCAGCAGCTCTGACCTCGGGATCAGAGGCCCCGGCACCACCTCTGGAGGACAGCCCTAGCCTCTGGGGGGCTGACTCTTCCCTATATAGAGCCAAGCCAAGGCCTCGCCAGGGGTGGACAGTGGTGGAGGCAGCCTCAGCCCGGCTATGAGGGTGGTGCAGCACAGGCAGGCTGAGCACCCCAGGAGCGCCCCAAGTCTTAGTTCGGAGTCCAGGCAGGCTCCTCCAGGAGTGCACTACCTCTCATTCCTCCTTGGCAATGCAGGGTCTCGGAGAGGACAGCACCCTGCCTCATCCCTGGGGCTCCCTTGCCCTACCTCAACACCTCCCCATCAGAATGGTCTGAAGTGGCTCCTGGCCCGTGTTCTTCTGGAGTGAGGCATGAGTGAGACGCAGCTCCCACTGGCTGCGACGAACCCGGGGCCAGGCCTGGGCCTGGAATTCCTACCCAGGAGGGAAGAACCACCGTGGCTTCCTTTCTCCAGATGAGCAGCCTGATGCTTAGAGAGTTAGGGACCCAGGATTTGAGCAGAGGTCTGTTAAGAACCTGAGCTTTAAAAAAACAAAACAACCTTTCTTTATTTGCAACTAATACCATTATCTACAAAAAAATTCTAAGAAGGCTACAAAAGACTCACGAGGACTAGTAAGTAGGTTTAGCAAGTAGCTGAGCGCTTAACCACTGTCACATAGGCCTGTGGGAGAGGGAGGGCAGAGCGCCACAGAGCTGGCAAAAGCTTGGCAGAAAGAGAAGCAAACCGAGAGTCTCCTCCAGCTCCAGCGCCTGTGGGTTTGGGGGGGCGGTATTACTGCAGCACTTGGGGGGAGGCTGGCACGTGCCAGCCTGAGTAGGGTGCCGGGAGTGGGCGCAAGCACGTAGCCAGAGACGGGGTATGCTGAGCCCGTTCGAGGGGTGCTAATAGAAAAGGTGTCTCCTCGAATGTGATGACACGGCAGGTCTAGGGGGTGAGGCACCCCCAACCCCAGCCCCCTCAGAGTCCGTGGTGCCCGGGCATCTCTGAGCCCCTGCCTCCTTTTCACAGAAGCCTCTTTCCCAGCCCCCCAACCCTTCACACGCACCCCAGGCTCCCTGAGCCTCTCTGGCCTCTGCCTGCTGGTTCACTGTACTGCTTCTCCACGTCGCTGTTCCTTATTCTTGGGCAGCTGGGAAGCCGAGCGGACCCCTCCCTTGAGACTGAGGCCTGCCTGGGGGCTGGGTGTCGGGCACCACACTGTTTCCTCCTCAGCTCTTCTCTACCGACCACACCCGCCACGCGCAGCCCAGGACTTGGCTGGCCCACGGTGATGCTTGCTAGATGTTCAATGAACTCGCCTCACCACCTAATTTAGAGATCACCCCAATAACCCAGCCTGCAAAGACATGTCTCACCGGCCCAGGAGCCCCCTCCCTGGCCAGGGGGTGGGGTTGGTGTCAGCGAGAATGGGAAGAGGTAGGGACAGTCCAGGACTTCAGCCAAGGACTTGGGGCACCGAGCAGAGGCCCCAGCGGGAGGCCAAGTCAACCCCTGCTCCTGTTCTCCCTGCAGGCAGTGGTGGCCCAGCAGGGTGTCGCGGGCAGGGGGCCCTGAGCTCCAACCTGCCTCTGCTGTGTGGCCTTGGGCCACCACCCTCTCCGGTGACCTCTTGAAGGCAGGCGGGAGTGAGGGAGCGGAAGGGGCTGGCTGGCAGGGGCACGAGGTGGGATTCTTAAGGAGACGCTGAATCAGGCGATTGAGCAGCGGCAGCAGCGGGGCAGGCCGGGTGTTTGGACAGCTGCAAGTCCTTAACGGGGATTTCCCCCCTTTTCAACAAATCCCCGTAAAACAGCATTTTGTCCAAGTCAGCGATTTGCGGCCGCCGGGCTCCCCGGGCGCCAAGGAGGCCGGCTAGGAGCTGCGGCGCTCCGCTCGGGCGGCAGCATGCGGGGAGGGCGGCGGCTTTGCGGGAAGAAGTGGCCAGAGCAGGCCCTGGACCCGCTGCCAGAGAGGGGAAGGGCACCAGCTAACGGTGGCTCTCCCCCGCCAGTCTCTCCCAAGGGTCCTGTCCCGGAGACCACCAAGGAATTTAGAGCCCCGTCCCCGCCCCCTGCCCACCGCGGGGATGAGCTCACTGCCGTCCAGAAGGAAGGAGGGGTGTGAGAGAGGGGTCCCAGGCCCCCTGCGGGTGGTGACTGGATCGCCCCACGCAGGTTCTGGTGCCTCCAGGCCCCCAGCCCGCCCCACCCCACAGGGCGGCTGCTGAGGAGCAGTGGGGAAGCGCCGCAGGCAGCCAAACCACAGGTATGTTAAGAGAGCTTCCTGTTGTGGAGACATTTCTGTGGATGGCTGCCCCTCTTGTCCCCGTGCCTCCTGTCTCCCGGCTCACCAGCCCTGCTCTCTGCTCTCCCTCAGTCCCTGGCTCCTCCCTCTGTCTGTCCCCCCACCCACAGCTCAGCGACCTCAACAGCATTTGTTGCTGCAGCTCTCCCCCTCAGGGGTCCGGACAAGGGCGCCCTCCTGGATCCAGGTCTCCCCTGGACTCCGGTTCCAAAACAGCTACTTGCCAGCTGGGTGATGTTGGGCAGGGACTTAACCTCTCTGAATCTCAGTGTCCTTATCTGTGAAAAGATTAACTGATGAGATGAGCCGAGACACTGGCCCCGTCAGGTACATGTCCTCTCCTCCTGCCTCAGTGACCAGAAAGTCCTCCTCTGGCTTAACTTCAACCCTTCCTGCTTCAAGGTGACATCCCCTAACCTGCTAACCCCAGTGTGACCTCCTCACACTCAGGTGACTTGCTGTTAAAGGGCAGGACCTTGTGAAATGTCCTAGTCACTT